TCACCCCGGAACTGCTCCGCGAGGTCGGGAGCACCGAGGTGTTAGAAACCACCGGCCTCTTGTCCTACCTTGCCCTCTCGCGGAATTATCTTGTCGACATCGTCATCGATGCGCGCGACCAAGAATGGGACTTTGATGATACTGGGTGTGTTATATTTCATTCGATAGTATATTCTCTGACAGGCTTGGTAGTGCATGGTTTTCCGCCGACCACATGAGTGCCGCGATGTCGGTGCTGCTGCCGCACCTCGGGCGATGGCGCTCTTTGTCAATTCTCACCGACGTTTACGATCCAATGCGTGCCGCACTGCGCCCGCTCGAGGTTTACTTGGCAGCTTATGGTGCCCCGCACCTTGAGAGCCTTCGCCTTATGCGCTGCGACGCTTATGCCGTACACTCCCTGGTTGCTGAGCCCGACTACCTCTTCCTCTCCTCCATAACCAATTCCGAATCGGTACTCCCCAACCTGCGACACCTCACCCTTCGCGGTGTTCCTGCGGCTTGGACTCCGCTAGCTACCCTTCTTCCCGAGCAACTGAATACACTCGAGCTGTCGTTCCAACCGATGACGACTCAGCCTTCTGTACCTGAGCTTGCGCGTCTTCTACAAGCCGCTCCGCATCTCGCCCGCCTGGTCCTGAACGGCTGTGGCCCCGCGTTCCTCGACCCTGCTGGCGTCTTCTTACCCACAGATCTCGAGCCTATACACCTCCCTTTGCTCAAATCACTCGCTCTCGGCTACACCTCTGCCCTCTCCGCTCTTGCCGTCCTCCAGCTCCTCGCTGCGGCGCAGCTCCACACGCTCGCTCTCGAGGACGCTAGCCACCACGCGGAGATGGTCCCCGTCGATGGCGTCCCGCTCCTTGCGGCCCTCTTCCCACCCTCCACACCGGCTGTACCGCGTTTCCCCGCCCTTTCCGACCTCACCCTCCGCCGCGTACACCTCGCTGGTCCGACGCCGCCCGTGCGCGTTGCCCGGCTCGAACTGATCGACATGGCGCCCGCTGCACTCGCCTTGGAGTGCACGCAAGAGCTCTGCGTGCGCGGTCCGCTCATCGCACCGTCTGCGTTCGTCGTGCCCGCCGCCGTGTCCCTCGCGGAGACCGGGGCGGCACTGCGTGCTCTGGTCGAGGGGCGGGGCGCTGCTGCCCCGCGCGTTGTGTGCTTGCACGAGGCTGCGTATGCGGCTCCGCTTGCAGGCGAAGCGGAGGAAATTTTTATTGGCGCAACGCTGGTGAAGCTGTATCGGCGGCCTGAGGAGCTAGAGGACGATGAGGACACGGTGATGGGGAGCGAGCCGGAATGTGGTTGGGACGAGCACGAAGCGTTCAAGGTTGGGGGTGTCTTTAACGACCCAGTGTTTGATGCTCGATATGGATATGTGGGATGAAGTATTTTCTCGTACTTGGTTTCTTGCTGTCAGGTTTACTTTCTTGGTCGGACGTTGTACAAATATAACAAATGAATTCGGCATGCTTTCATCGCTTGATGTATCACTGCGTTCCGAGCCCGCGTCGGCACACTATGTTGACGTGGGTTGAGCTACGATAGACATGTGCCGAGCCTAGTCCACGCACTGTGCCGAGGCCAGATCGGCGCATCTGCGCTGACATGAGCCGAGGCTGCGTGGACGCTGTGCCGACGTAGGGGTTTTCTACTTCGGCTTTTCCCGCTTCGCAGCCTCCAACGGCTCTGGGAAATGTACTAATTTTAAATTTATGCGCCTGGGAAGTGCTTCCGTCAACCGTGAGACCTTTCTCACGGTTTGACGCGCGAGCACATCCAAGCCCTCATCCCGGTTGACCGCTAGTAGGTTGCTTTGCGCCCCCAAAAAAGTACATTGCCATGAATAGTCCATGGGACAACCACAGGGTGTCGAATTTTGACATACGAGGTCGATAGAAACTCTACTAACCATCAAAATGATTCAGTCGATGGATCAACCGAATTTAGCCATCAAACTCCAGAAAATCGATTTTGTTTCAACCACAATCCAAGGTAACGCGAACTGGGGTCATAAAAGGACCGAAAATGTGTGTCCAAGTGCAGGAATGGGGCAGGAAACAAGGTGTAACCCTCGGTGCGCCGACCTGCGTGGAGGGGGGTCGGCACACCCTGTGCCGACGGACCCACGGAACGCAGTGTATCTTTCTCCTTTGCATACTCAAATGCCAGACGTGGGATAATTCTATTCAGAAACCCGGGTCCAAGCAGAAACCCTTCCTTTTTAGGAAATTTTTTGCGGAAACCCCTACCAAAAGTTAACGAGAAACCCATTTACGGCAAAATTTGTGCGCATCAGTGTTTCAACGCTCCCATTAACAATGGACAACTCTGACCGCCCCGGTCTTGAGTCTAAAGATCATATCGAGCCTCCAGCAATCATGCATGTCGTTCAAGTTGACTTCCGAAGCGCCGAACGGGCTCGCCGAGATGCCGAGAAATGCCGAATTGGCATCTTTGTGATGCCGCCGTTGAATCAAATGAATGTAGGGATTTAAGGGGGTACAGAAGCTCAGGAAGGGTCTATTTGGCACCTTTTCTCTTTGCGTGGAGATTAGGAAATGTCATTGCACAAATGAGATATCTCTTGTTTCACTGTGTCATGGCAAATGGATCGGAATGATGGGATTTGGCGTTCATGTGGTGGTAGTTAATGCTGGTTGCTCAAGAAGGCTAAAAGGTGCACTCATCGATTGAACTACTTCTCTCACACGAGAAAATCGTGGAGAAAATCATCCCGCCGCGAATGCCGACTGTGCCGCACCGTCGGCAAATGACCCGGCATTAGGAGGGGTTTCTCCGCAACCGGAGAAACCCGAGTTTCCGAATAAGGATTGAAAAACCCGGGTTTCTGAATAGAATTATCCCCAGACGCGGGTACTATCGATCGACCTGAAGTGCAAGATCACCCTGAAGTGCAAAATAAAGTTAAATTCTATTTCGACCCAAACTCCGCCTCAACTTATTCAAACTGAAACACGGACACAATGGTGTGCTTCCTGAGATTCCATTAATATACCTTCCAGAAGAAACCGGGTCGATTTGACCTCACACTGAGCGCGAAACTTTTCTTGCACTTCTGGGTCTTTTTGATGGCACGCTCAGCACGTTTACCACGACTTCAATTCTACGTCGTAGACAACCGCCCTTTATAAATACGCTCTGTGCATCTTGAGGATCATGTATTCCAACTCCGGGCGAAATCCGACCAGATTTGAGACCGTAGCAGTAACATCAAAAAAATCTTGCACTTGAGGTCGATTGATAGTACTCATAGAAAATGAATCTTGCAAACGCGTGAGATTATGATCGGTGAGCTCGGCGAAGGAATACGTTGGCGTATATGTACCAAATATATACACCGGGATACTTCCTAGTCTGGACGGTGCGTAGACGCAAGCTTGGGCTTGATGGTGGCGTCGTCGTCGTCGAGGTCGTCGTGAGTGGGCGTGCGTTGGGGCCCGTTTCGGGAACGACATTGAGGTTTCACTTGGCGCATCCTCGACACACCGCGCCGACGACATCCCATTGTACTGGCTTCGTTGTTCTACTGGGGCAGCACGCAGGTTGGCCGACGCGTTCCTTCCGGCTCCGAATTGACGCGTCCAATTGCTCAGCACAAGACGTTGTTGATGCCTCGCGCCCTCAAGAACCAACGCTGTTTCAATACCTTCAATCGGCATACGCTCATCCAGCCTCGACTCTCGAATAATCGCTTTCAACCATTGTGGGCCCACAGTCGCCGCCCACCGGGGCAATCCAGATATATCCAGCTTCAAGACACCGCTCACCGCCCACTCACACCGTGCCTACGTAGCTACATGCCCGTCCCTCTGCACCGGCTCGCGACTGTTACCACCGTTGTTCCCGACTGTGCTCATCGCCGCCGGCATATCTCAAAACAAGTCTAGAAACGGGTCAGCTTTGCGGCAAGAAATGTAGCGCATGGAGTGGGCGCCCGGGCGCAGGTGCGCCCTTTACCGATCTCCTGTGCTTGCTGACCATGAGCAATGCGCGCCGCCCCACCACTTTTTGCACACTCCCCATTCCGCTCTCCTTCCCACTTTCTCCACACCCCCCTTGACGCGCTCCCTCGTCTCGTCTCCATCGCGCCCTGAGCAAAGGGCGCCGCGTACGATGTTGTATGTCCACCTGTTGACGCCACGTCCGAGCGCGCGCTATCGACGCCGGTGCGAGGGTACAAGGCGTGTGGCAGCGTGTCCGAGTCCGTCACGTTCGCGGAAACGCCAGCGCGCGCACGCATCGACTCGTCCGGCTCGCGTCTGCCACCCTCACTGCGCTGCGTTCTCGGCGCCGGCACCTTCTGTCCTACTCGTACTTCTACGACTTCCGCGCTCGTCGCACATATATCCCACCCAGATTCGGCGGCTGGCGCGAATCTGGCTTGGTGTAATTCGTCCAAAGTTCGTCAGCCCCAAATATAACTTACTTTCATTCCAATAAATCGGTGTGATCCAGATTCGCGTCAATAGGGATTCGAATGAGGGCGGATGCGCCTCGGTTTCAACCATTGTACTCCTGCTCGCGGCCAAGCCCGCATTCGCCTTCAGTTCCAAAGAAACCCTGGAAGGAGAATCTCAACTTGCCAGATCATTCAGGATCGCCGTGCTCTCTTCCGCGCAAAAAAGCCCCACCTAGCAGGATTCAACACGAGGTCAATAAGCCTCTATAGTAGATCAAGGTTAGTTCACCTCCGCTCCATAAGCCATCCTGGAGGAGACATAGGTTCGACTACCTAGCGTAAAAGTCCGGATCTAGGGTCGCACCTTTTTATTTGGTTTCCTGGAAACAAGATGCACCCTTGCTTCTTCTATAACTATGTACAGTACATATCTCCCCTTCTTGACTTGACTGCACGTTAAACTAGATTCAACATCCGATCAAATTGATATTCAATCAAGTACCCTACTACAACTTCCGCCGCCCTCTCTCAAAAATTCTCTGAGCTCGTGCAAGTTCAGTTGGACAGTGAATAAGCCTCTATGGTTCAGTGTTAGATCACCTCCGCTTCATGAAGCGTGAAATGCGAATGTTTCGGAGGAGACGTAGGTTCGAGTCCTACTGGGTGCGTAGGAATCGACTTCTGGACGTTTTTATTTTGTCTTCGTGTACTGCGTTAAGTCAAACCCTGAGCGCTTCCCGAACATGTACATGTAATTTGCTCGACGCGCGAACAACTTCACACGTTGAATTCAGATTCAATTCAACTCAACACTGTCATGGTTCAGTTAAATTACAGCAATAGTCAGCTACAATTTCTCAAGTCCTCTGGTAGTGAACCACGTCTTTCCTCCACCACAGGCAACCACTTCTTGAACAAAAAGCCTCTATGGATCAATGCTAGATTCGTAGAGAAGAGCCGGTGAGGTGTTTCGGAGGAGACGTGGGTTCGAGTCCTACGAGAGGCTTACATGACGCCTCGGACGTCCCATTTTTGTCACCAATGAAATTTTATTGCAGCAGCCAATCTTTTGGTTCTAACCATTTACGTCGATCTCCTCTGCTCGACGAATAAATAACAAAGGTCTGCGCGTTAGAATTGATGTAAATTCAAATTCAACGTCCACTCAAGTTTATATAGAGACCGGCCGCGGCGCCACTTTTCCTGCTGTGAGGAATCTGTTTTTGTAACAACTGCCCTCTTGCTACTAAGTACTCTTCATTTTTCAAGTTTCAACACCATCTTTAACACCACTTTCAACAATGATATTGAGCGGCGAGCCTACTACGACGTCGACTTCCGCCGCCCTTCAAAAACCTCCAGACTCATGCAAGTTCAGTTCAACGGTGAATAAGCCTCTATAAATCATTGTTAGATCACCTCCACTCCATAGCCGCGAACGTTTGCTAAGGAGGGGGGACGTAGGTTCAATTCCTACTAGAGGCATTTCTGAGTCAGGAAGGTGCGACAACCTTGTTTATTTTATTTTCCAATGAGGACTGCACTCTTGCCTCTATGTTTGTAAATTTAGAAATCCCCTCTGCTTGACGAATAAACAGCTGCAGTCTGCGCGTTAAATTCAAGATCCAACTTGAATCAAATTAATATTCAAGTGCGACTACTTACCTGTACGTAGCCCTCGTGCGCCTGCCAATCCAACATGGTTCGCACAAATGACTCCCGGTATATAAGACGAAAGCCACCATGGATAAATGCTAGACCGCCTCCGCTTCATTAGACCGTTTGACTATGTAGGTGTTTCGGAGGAAACGTAGGTTCGATTCCTACCGGAGGTATTACTCGACAGTGTAACCTTTTTGCAACTTTTGAGGACTCGGCGACCTCGACAGAACACAAACTTGCCGGGTAAGTATTTCGTCGCGACTTGTCTGGACTCTGTCCGCATTTTATTCGGAATGATTTTAAGTGGGATCTTGAGAGTTGGACTCGTGTTGAAGGCGGAGATTCAAGTTTCAAGAGAGACAAAATGTGGACGGTGAACTTGGGTTTTTCTCTCGATAAACACGAACACGACGTTGATGGCACAATTGATACCATCAAAACCGCTCTTCCTTCCTGCCATCATGAACTCAGATTCCTCGCCTGTCCTTCCTCTCGAGCTGGAGCGAGAAATCTTCGAGGGAGCAGCAATTTGCTGTCCGGAAACCATTCCAAGCCTTCTCCTCGTTTCGCACCGCGTCTATGAGTGGTGAGGGCGCAACTGTCTGGACCAACAACCGCTTGAAACTAATTTAGTGTCAAGGATTGAAAAGATCAAATATAGGACGGTCACTCCGATGGGGAAACATTCTACTTGCTCATACGAAACTCTGATGCGCGTGATTCAATCCGATTCCAAATCTCCCCATGTTCACCATTTATACATTTGGCCGTATGGTGGAACCGACGTGGTGCAGGAGATCCTCCACGTCTGCACCGGAATCCAATCATTAGCACTTATCCGAAGCAATATTTCTGCGTTCCTACTCCCCACTCTTGCCACCCTGCGGCCGCGGCGGTTATGGGGGTACTTCGGCTCTTTGCTTGATAAAAAGGATTTTGGCCAATCAATGTTCACTTTCGTCACCCATCTGGCACTGTGGGAGATTGCTGGCGAACCTGATCGCGACATTCCCGTCTGGCTGTCGTTCCTTGCTATGTTCCCCTCCCTCACACATCTGATGATCTCCAGCTTCAAAACTACCCTTGTACCACACATTCTTGCGTCTTCCAAAATGCTCGAGGTCCTTGTCAAAGATAGCAGCCTCTCTGGTGAAGAGCTGGACAATGTCGACGACCGCTATGTGACCATCGAGCTCCGAAGCATTGTCGAACAATGGGTGATGGGGGCAAGAGGAGGAAACAATTTTTGGGCCCGCGCAGAGGCTTTCATTGCGAAAAAGCGGTGCAGGGAAATTCAACCAGGTTCGTCTCTGCTGTCATGATTTCCACTTTTTCCTATTCCCATCCTAAACTCCCCGGGTTATTCGCCTAACACCCGCCCCGGATTATTCAACTTCACACCGGGTTATTCACTACGATCGGAATAACCCGAATGCCGAGATCAATGCTGACCCCGGATCAGGAATCCCATCAGGTGCCGCATTGATCCTTTTATTTCAACTTCCCTCCGATTGCTTTCTCAATGATCACCCCTTTCTGCCTGGTGCACGCTGCGATGTCGACCGTCACTGGCAACGCCTCTGACATATTTCATATATATTCTAATTACTTCGCTACCAGTTACTAGGTATTTTACTATAAAAACCCTACCTACAGCTCTGTATTCTTTACACTATTCTAGTCTATTCTCCAGAGCTTGATCGGATTGCCTCAAACCTATCTCTTTCTGTATCGCCAGTCGCCTATGTCGCAGTAACCCTGCTAGTTAAGGCTCTGTGCTGACATCTGCGGTGCTTTCTAGGCAAATCCTAACCCCCACTTGTCAGATTGGCGTTATTGGATCGAGGATGCAGATGAGATCTGAGCTTGTAGATTACCTTACATCAGGTCCAGCATTTTTCCATAAAAAGTTCCGTGCAACTTGCTTTGAAGCTTTTTCCCCCCTACCCACCACAACAGGGCGCGAGATTTTTTTCGACGGACATAGCCATTGTTTGGGAGTCCGCATTCTCCGCCGCGGAGAATGGCGGCCACCAGTCTGACTCAATCATTTAGCGTTATGCGTCGCTCCCCTTGGAACTCGAGAGAGCGATCTTTATAACGGCTGCCGCAGACGATGAAAAAATGATTATCACTCTTCTTTGCGTTGCAAGCATTAGTTTGTACTTCCTTCAGACGGTCATGTTGTTGTACTGATTTATTGAACCAGCAACCCAAATCTGCAAAGACCGAGATCAGTGAATTTCCCGTTGCTCGGGCGGTTATTAGGGTATGTGTCTGCTACGCACGGATTGTACTGAACTATGAATCCATGTACGCAGCGCTTGGCCGTCATTCATGCGCATTGACACTTGGTAATGTCCTGAAAGAAGCCAGTATTCTACCGGCCCCGAGTTCGCTCCAAACCGCTATGCGCTACGATCCCGAAGTCAATGGTGAGTTCATGCCATTTTCGTTTTCATTCAGACTTATGTTCAAGTTAGCCACGAATAAGAGTAGGCCGCGATCTGAGATCTCCCTTCTCGATGGCAGCAGAACTCTCCCTGCAATACTCGCCCTTCTTCAAATATCGGACCTCTTCCGGAATTTTGCGGCTGGGCTCAGAATCATGGTGACTCGCACTGTTGACTCACAATATTGTCCTCGATCCTGCGCCAGTACTCGAGTTGGACCTCAACGAAGTCAAAACGAAGTCGCTCTTCTGCGCAAGGGCTGGCAGGTTGTCATGAATCAGTTAGAGCGCTCTGAATGTTGTCGAGGTTGGTGCGACTACGGGGCCTGTTCGGATCTTGTCAATGAGGGTGACTTGAGTGGGAGCTTGCCATCTTGAATGTTCGAACTCGTGTTGAAGTCGAAAGATAAAAATTCAACCGAAGAACGCAAATGTCACTTCAATTCGCGGGCAAAAAAGAGACTGGAAGATAGTCATTGGCGGTTACCACGGTCGCCGCTTTTTTATGGCGGTAGATTTGACTAGGTGCATTTTTTGATCCATTAGAAATTCAAAGTCCCGGGTTGGAAATTCTGAGGAGACAGTTCGCTTGGAAATAATCCCAAATGCTTAGTCTATTCATTTCACCGGAGGAAAGTGTAGACTGCGAGTGCTAGAGCGAGATCAAGTCGTGCTGTCCGCATTTGGATTACCCCTATTATTTCCCTTGAAAGGCACATCAAGATGATGGGGAGAAAATCGCCTTAGCCAAGTCGTATTGCACTCGTTCGACTCAAATTCAATAGGATATACCTTTGGATTGGCTTCGAAGAGGATTGTCTCTTCAGGATTCCGAAATTCAGACTTTGAATTTTCGATGAAGCGCGAAATGCGCACTAAATCAAATCTACCGCCATCAAAAGCGGCGACCGTGGAGGAGGAGGAGGAGGAGGATGTATTACCGCGGGCGGTCGATTATCGATTATCATCCAGTCGCTTCGCCCGGCACCGGTTGATCGACTGTCATCAAATCTCTGTTTTGGCGAACTCCGACTGCGTGATCGCAGGTGATCGCACTGTCAAAATCCTTCTTTCCTCCTACCCTCATGAGCTCAGATTCCCCCGTCCTTCCTCCAGAACTGGAGCGAGAAATTTTCGGGGAAGCAGCAACTCAATGGCCAGAAACCATCCCCAGCCTTCTTTTGGTTTCGCACCGTGTCTATGAGTGGTGAGCGAGCAACTGCCAACAACCGCTTGAAACTAATCTAGCCTCAAGGATTGAAAAAATCAAATATAGGACGGTCACGTCAACGGGGGAACTTTCCACTTGCTCACTCGCCACTCTCAGTCGGGCGATTCAATCCAATTCGAAAGATCCCTCCTTCTTCCGCACTCATGTTCACCATTTATTCGTTCGGCTTTTCCGTGGGAAGACGGAGGATAATAAGATGTTGCCGGAGATCCTCCGCATCTGCACCGGAATCCAATCATTAGCATTTATCCCATGTGGTACCCCTTCGTCCCTACTCCCCACTCTTGCCACCCTTCGACCACGACAACTGTGGATGCGGATCG